TGTTAAAGGTAAACCCCCCAACCCCCCAACCCCCAGCAAAACCAAGGGCAAACCAACCCCCCGCACACCCCCAATCCTAACCGGGGCGTTCCAAACAAAACGCCACTTTTGCCCCAATAAATAAGGGGGGGTTTTTTCCACCCCCAAAATATCCTCCCACCCCAATTTCCGGGCAATAGTTGAAAAATCTCCAAAGTTTCCTTGTATAAAGCTACAACAAAAGAGGGGGGGGAAGTTCATTTTGTTCTTGGTCGAATTCCTTGAGAGTCTCATGGGTTGGAATGTCTCTGGGGATAGGGGTGAGTTTGTGAAACCGGGATGTTGGGTGGGCGTTGAGGTCGGGGGCCCGTAAGAGGAATGGTGTTGTTCTTCTGGGATGCGACCTATGAGACCCCCGACCGATAGAAGTCAACAGCACCATTTAGTCCATTCCACCTCTTGCGGCCTAACAGGGGGAAATCACAAACAGGTTGGATCTGTTGAAACCCAAGGAAGACACATTGTCCTCCTTCCCCTGTTGGGATGTGGTGGTGCAAATATCTGTTGGGTTTGCTTTTCCCCAACATTAAACGGCGGGGGGAGGGGGGGAGGGGTCAGGGTTTGGGGAGGGGGGAAAGGGGGGTGGCTCCACTATTTTTTCCACTCCACCCTCATTCCTGCCTCACTTTTTTCCCTCATCATTTTCACCTCCTTGAGAATACTTTAAATTATGTTTAAATGGAGGGGAATGGGTTCCACATAACAAGTGGTGTATCCCCATTGATGGTAAAGTTCAATTGTTCATGTGTTTATAGCCACTCATAGCCAGTCTACCATGATTGTCAGTAGAGTGTTGACCAAGCCCAAGTCCTAAAAGATACGTTGTAGGTGGGGAATTTTGGGATGAAGTGTATGAAGGTTGTAGGGTTTGTTGGATATTTGCTTATCTTCATTCCTCCACTTTCTCTTCTCCCCCTCCACATTCCTCTCATTTTTGTTTTGTTGTCTATTGTTTTATTTCTTTGTTTCTCCAAATTTCTAATTCAGAGTCGGTGGGTTTGGTCTTTAACCTCTCTGTTTTTACTAACTTAGGGTTTAGAATAAAAAAAAAATTTTAAAATTTTGTTCAAAGAATACTATTTCTGATAGTGATTTATAAAAAGAAATTCCCTTGTTGTAAATTAAAAAAACAATGTTAAACTTCGCAAGAAAAGAAATGGTAGAAAACTATTTACTTTTAGGAAGAAAGAAAAAAAAAATGGGTTGAAGATAATTTCCTGCAAGTTAAGTACTTAAAAACTCAATTCAAATAATCTTTGTTTGTTGAAAAAATTTTGTTTAAAGTTTTTGTTTTTTAAAGAAAAAAATTTTTTTTAAAATGTATTTTATTAAAAATTAATTTCAATTTTCAGTTATCCACAACAAGGTTTCCCATCGAACTCTAGGGTAAGATGTGGTGTAAAAAAAACCTAAGTTATTTTCAGCAAATCCAAGGTAAAAATATTAACCCTTATCCTTGAATGGCACAATAATACTGTTACTGAGTGTTTGATCTTTCCCCAAAATATCAAAACGACCCCACTTCCTGGAAAGGTTTAAAAGCCACAATTTGCTAGGTGACTACACCCAGACCTTGGATCTTAAGAAAATAACAATCCTCCCAACACTACCTCTCCTGGGAAATGTTGGATAAAAAGCCCCAATTTGCATAGGTACAACCAAACCCTTGATGAGAAATGAAAAAGCATAGTGTTTTAAGAAGACTTTTAATAAAAATAGAGTAAATAGAAATAAAGAAACCCCTGTAAAATAGGATGGTAGATATCTTACAGGGTAATTAGATTCAAAAAAAAGAACCCTCTAGCAAAACTTAAGTTAAAAAGATAAAGAAGAAATAGTTATTCTATTAGAAATTTTTTTCAGCATTTAAAGAAATCATAATCTAACACATACCTAGCTAGATTACTTACTAAAAGTTCTAAGACTCCATTTGTTTGTTCTGGCAAGAGAGCATAAGAGAGACAGACCCTTTGTCCCTCTCCTCCTCCCAGCTTTTGAAAGTATCTTGTCTCCTCATTGGTCATTTTGGTCAGGTGCCAGCGAGGTTACCTTTAGCTTCTTAACCCTTTACAGGTGAGAGGAGCTTTCTCCTGGCCAGGAGGGATTTCAAAGGGGTTTACCCTTCCCTTTATATTTATGACAACCCATAAATTACAATTTTTTTCTTTTAGAATAATATCTTGTACTTTTATGAGACCTTCCATCTCCAAGCATTTCACAAACACTTATGATTCAACCCTTTCAATACTCCTGCTTTCAACACAGCCATCCATGTACTATATATCTTGTGTGGTCTACATTTCTATACCTAGACTGTGGCTTTAAACTGCTGCTTGGGTTGGGTTTGGGGTCCATGGAAGGAGCTTGTGGAGGGATGGGCCTGCGGCAGACACAGTGCCTCGGGGAGTGATAAGGAAGTGCTCACACCAGCAGCGTCTGTGAAACCCTTTTCAAGGATCATCATGTGCTCCCCTGTGCCAGCCCAACTCTGCTGGCCTATCGGCTGCTCTTCCTCTCACACTGTGAGGTTTCTGTAGCTGCTGTTGACTCAGTCCTTGCGTGCTGGGAGTGCAAGGACCAAGGTCATGTCTGGCCTATGCACTGCATTTCCAGGAGAGAGAGAGGAAGCTCTTCTACGTTCCCCCTCTTTGCCTCTTCCACTTTTCAGCCCACTGCTGTCCAGATCTATTTCTTCCACCACTCCTGCTGCTTCCTTTCTCCTCCTTTCTCTGGTGATGTCTCCACCATCCTCTTTTTCTACCCTTGCATTATGCACTAGGCTGCTTCTTTTTTTTCCACCAAAGTGACTCCTCTTCCTAACTCCAGAATCTCAGTCCTTTCCTGTTGTCCAGCTATATCACATCACACCCTTGCATTAATTTCTTTGCATGGACCAAAGTGTGTTCATATTGTAAACCATATGCATGTTCTATAATATATGTATTCTGTATAATAAATCAGTATTTACCTGTTATAGCTAGAGCAGAGCAAAACTTCTTGGTTTCCGGTCACATTCTCTTTGGCTTTCTTTTTCTTTCACCCCCCTTGAGATTTGATTTGAGGAGATGTTGAACAAAAGCAAAGCGAAAGCAAAATATAAATGGAGTCTGCCCAGCATTATGAAGGTCTTCTTGTGGATGGTTTCACAAAACTTTGTCAAAATTTGATCCAGCCTTTATGGACAAGCCTACAGAATTTAGTAGGACTGGAACCAATAGAATTGTATAGGGATGTCTTTTCTATCCTACTTTTAATCCATTCTGTCGAATTTGATAGCAGGGATTAAATTCTCTATTATATTCTATAGCATGGTTCATAAAATCTACAGAAAGATATAACTTTATATTAAATTCAAGTTCTTACATAAGGGAGAACTGGTTATCCCAAGATTTATAACAAAACCAGCTGAAATCATGAACACTAGTTTGGTTACCCCAAATTTCAGTGCTTCAGATTAGAGAGGGTGCAGCAAGTGCTTTTATTGTTTAAAATTTCTGCCTCTGGACTTGAACGTCATCGATCATACATTGTCTGATGGCAGGTTGATTAAATGTAGCAACCTCAGTGCTGTCACTTAATTCGTTTTAAAGTGTGCGTTGGAGAGTGGATTATCAGCAGCCCAGCAGAGTTTAGGATTTGTTTATAATCTCATCTCATTCATTACCTTTTATTCGATCTCCCTGCCTGTCTGTCTACACATGTCTTTCATCTTATTCTCAGATTGTAAACCCTTCAGGGTGGGACATTTGTATTTTATGTGTGTACTGTGCTTAACACAATGGGGTTCTGAATGCTGATTGGAGGCTCTGAGGTGCTATTGCAAAACCAATGATGAATATCACTAATTTGTCGATTGATACTTAGGAGATCAGAGAAAAAACACGAGTCTCTTCGGGGGGTATATTTGTGTGCTTTAATCTATTGAAACTTTATATTCTACAGTAAAGACTTTATATTGTACAGCTGACTAATTTGTATTCAACATGTTACATTTGTTTTGAAACTCATTAGGGCCTTAGACCACATGTGGGAACAGGTGGGATATAGCAGACAAAATTTGATAGTATTAAACAACCTTCAATTCGCAACCCCTCTTGATATATTGAGATGGAAAGCTCAATTATCTCTCTAAGTGTGGGTTAGGATGTAATGGTGCAGCACTAGGAGGAGAGACAGCATGGGATGATAATTCCATATCCATTGTGAGATCTCATGCTGAGTTAGGGTAATCTACCACCACCACCCAAACATTAGTTCTGTTGTGCATAATGACTTGTGGCCATGTTCTTAGAATGCAACAAGATCTTCGAATTAGCTCAGCCCATGTCTCTACTGTGTTTTCAACCATGATGTTAAGACTAGCGGGAAGCAGAATGCTTTGCTTTGCAAAGTTAGGATGCCTGAGGGCATTAACAGTAGGCTTGCAACTCACCCCTTCCTCACCCTGCCATGTAAAATGTGTTGTACTCAGCCCCCTAAGGGTGTGAATTCCAGAAGGAAGTTATGTATCCACACAGATCAGCTGAATGTATTCTATGGCAGCACATTTGTTCCCATGAGGAAAGGAACCATGTTTACTCTGCTGCCACATTAAGGATTTCTTTCAGGGGTGAAACGTGACCTGCACATATGTGCATGGTGACAGAAGGCCAAAAAGAAGACATCAGTTTGTTAAATTTTTAGCAAACTTCCTCAGATGTGCTGTTCTTAGTAAGTAACTGAGCCACCATTACTGAGAATAATTTATAGAGAGACATGGAAATACAATCTCCAAGGCAGATTTGTCCATTGTGATGATCTGAAACGGAAACAACCACTTTCTAAAGTCAATTCCCAATACCTCAGATCAGAACACCCCAGATTTTGGGATGTTCAAAATCTGGATCTGGACTCTAGAGTTGATGTAAGCGACCACTAAAGATGCCAGGCAATGGGGAGTCAGACAGTTTTTTTGTTTTTTTTTTCTAATGGAACACTTCACAAATTAGCTTGTCATCCTTGCGTAGGGGCCATGCTAATCTTCTCTGTATCATTGGCCAAACTAATTATGACGAAACTTCTTTCCACCAAAAAAAATGCCAGTTTGTCAAAACCTAAATGTTTCATGGAAACATACTATTTTTGACAAAAATTTAATAGGTAAGTTTTTTCAGGTCAATGAAGGAATTTCTGATCAGAAAGAATCCCCAGAATGTACTCTGAATCAGGAAGAGCAGGGATTTGAACTTGGGTTTCCTACATCACAGGTGAGAGCTGAACTACACAGATATTGGTTACTGTGGGGTGATGATTCCTCTTGTGTTTTTTCACTAAAAATTTCAAAAGGTCTCGTTTTCATTCCACACTGGAACAAAAACTATTTTTTTAACTGAGAAATTTTTTGCTGAACAGAAATCTCATTTTTCAGCCAGTCCTAGAATCTTGCCCCTTTATGAGCACCATTAGCTTTATCATCATTGAATGCTGAAGACCTCTTCATGATTAACAGAGAAATATCCCTCAGCAGAGATGCAGGTTAGAGAAATCATGTTCTTCTACTACAATGCTTGGTTTTGGATTTGGGATTTTAGTTCTGCCCACTACAAAGAAGGGACAGTCAACAGAGTTCAGATCTGACTTGGTGTCAGAATCCAGACTTGCCTGAATTTGGGATATTCAGACACAGGTTTTGGAGTGGACATCACTGTGTTGTAATACCTCAGAAATGATGACTTTCTTGTTTTAAAATACTTTAGAAATACTGTGAAAAGTGCTGATTTGACAATCCTGGAGTCTTTTGTTTGTCCACAGAATGGTTATGTTGCAGACAGTGGGAGTGCAAGCTTCTCACACAATCCCTTGCTGATGTTCCTCGGTGCTATTCTGAAGCAACATTCCTTTAGATGAGAGAATACAGTACTGCATTTTTCATGCCGATTCAGTCTCTAGCCTCTCTGTCGAGAGTGCCAACAAAAATGCTAATCAGTGCCAGTTTTGTGAGGTGAACTCTTATCTATTAGGTATGGAACAGATAACACAAAACAGTCTTCAGATGGTAATATGTTCTGATCACCACTCACTTAGAAAAAGCCTAGAGGTAGATGTTTCCATATTCCATGAGTACCCCCTGAAGCTAACCATTCACTCACCTCTTTCTCATGTTTTCTAATTAGCAAAGCTGTTTGTGTTTTAACCTGTGGTTGCTACCTCATGGTCTATCCTGCCTCTTGTGTTTGATCTTGCTGTTAAATCCCTGAGCCAAATTTTCCTCTGTTACACATCAGTGGAGTTAGACCAGCATAGCTAAGAGAAGAATTTGGCCCATAATGCTACACAATGTCTGTGGCTATAGGCTGTGATGTCATAAATGCAGGATTCTGATTTCACTGCCGTGTGAGGAAAGAAAAGTTGGGCTGGGTGGGGAAAGATTGTAAAGAGCCCACCAGAAATAACTGCCATGCACAGTTCTTTTGATTTTTAGGTTCTTTCCTTGCAAATTTAGTGCAGGATAAAAGTCTCCATATGCCTTTATAAGGGAAAATAAAAGAAAAATGTGTTTCTCAGAGTTTCCTAATGTCTTTAAATACTGTGTAATGCAGGGAATACTCTCCCCCAAAAACTCTGCTGTATCTGTCTTTGTTTCAGTACCTGGTTTCTTAACACAGGCTAGGGTTAAAGTCCTTGCTACCAGGGTTTGAATTGCATGCCAAAAAGGAAAAAGGAAAAGAAAACACACTTATGATGTACAGAATTTTGTTTTCTCTCTCTCACTTTATCATAGCTAAAATTGTCTGGAATATTATTTATCCTCTAGGAAGCCATACATTATGGCAGTAGAATAACAGCACATTAACGTATGGCAACATCTGACCAATAAATATATGCCCAGTCCTTTGGAGAATGTTGTTTTTTCTGCTGGCTGCTAACATAAACAGGTATAGTTTATGCTCCTCAGTTTTCCCCAAAGGTCACATGTAATGTCTCAAAGACATAAATTACAGGCCCCAGCTAATAAAGAGACTGTTTAGTTAAGGCAAAGTTTCAGCATTTAGGGTTGAAAAATGCTTCCAGTTTCAAGGATTCCATTAAACATGAAAGTAATTTTTGGGGTGTAGAGAGCCAGAGAAAGGTGGACGGTGATAGGGGTATATGGCAGAGAACATGGGAAGTGTTTGTATTTGGGAAGGGAAAATGAACTAATGGAAAAAAACATTTCTCATCTGCCTGTATCAAAATAGGTGAGGTGACATTGGGTCCCTCTGAATTAAGGACTAAGGCCCTGTCCTGCTGCTGTGAAAGTTAGTGGGAGTTGGATTGGGCCCTTATAAAGAACAGTATTGCTAAAGATCTTGATGTGGAGTGTGACTGTGGTGGGAGAAATGAAAAGAACTTAATGTTGTCATCTCAGGCTATTTTTTAACCAGGTAATCAATGTTAGAGCTGGAAAGTGGGGGGAAATGAGGTTTGTGTAGAAACAAAGGACCTACTGAAGTTAATGGGAGTTTTGCCATTGAGTTTGCTCAGGCCAGGATTTCACCCAAGATTACCTGTTTGCTGTATCCAACAAGACCTGGCCAATCATAAAGGGAAGATAGGTTTTGCTGCATTTTTATCAGAACCTTAGTCCACTTAATTCAGCATGTTGGTCCCAGCAGAGTCTAATTCTCACTGTTACAGAAGAAGGCAAAAGCACCTAAAAAACTACCTAGTTTCTTCCTGATCCTTTCAAGGCAGTAGAAGGGGACTAACTTTATGGGGTCTGACCTTGCTCTCATTGAATGAAAAACTCCCATTGACATAAGTGTAGGATCAGACTCAGGTTATGTCTACACTGAGATAAAATACCTGTGGCTGGTCCAGGTCAGCTGACTTGGGCTTGTGGGGTTCAGGCTGCGCGCTATAAAATTGCAGTATTCTTTCATGTGTGGGCTGAAGCCTGATCTCTGAAACCCCACAAAGGCTGGAGCCCAAGGGTGAACATCTAAATTGCAATTTTTAGCCCTGCAGCCAGAGTCCCATGAGCCTGAGTCAGCTGACTCGGGCTCTGAGACTTGGTGTCACGGGTTTTTAATCATAGTGTAGACATACCCTAATGGTCTTAGGTCTCTTGTACACTGGAAATTTGTCCCAATTCCAGCAAGCAGAAACAGCCACCAGTGTAGCTGTACAAACTTTTAATGTAGACAGGCAAAGCCCCTGTATATGCTAGAAAGCGGGATAGGCTGCATAGGTACAAATCATGTCTCATAGCAGTTTATGCTAGAGGGTTTCACGGGTGCAGTTATATTGGTGGCTGGCCACCAACAGCTGAAATTGGAGCAAATCTCTAGCATATACAAGTCTGTAGCTTGCATAGCTACAGATATTATTAATATCTCAGAAAAGTTGCTTGAAATAGTTTCACACCAAAACACCTCTAAAGGGCATTGATTTGTTGCTTTGAGGTGGTGAACTCACATAATAAATGTATGAAATATTTCCAAATATTTAATTTAATACTTTAAATACAAAATATTTACTCCAAAGCTCTTTTTTTATAATAGGTCTTGGGGGAGGGAAATCCTCATGCTTCACTGCCCCATTTGACTTTCAGTTCTTTCCTCTATTGAGTTAAAACAAACCAAATAGTTATGCAACCTGGAAAGTATCACATTTTAGTGAGGGTCTGGAGCTCTGGAAATGTTACCAAGCCATAGGGCTTTAAAGGGATTAAAATGCTGCTTAAGGTTCTCCTTTTATGGAGATCAGGCAGCACCGGCTGTAGCAAAATTAAAAACCCTGCAAAGATCTGGTATCGTAAACTTAGAGCAACAAATTCCATTCTTTGCACCCAGAGCTGGCTTACTTTTGCTATTTTAAGGTTGTTTTGAACATTGCAGTAGCTGAGGTATGAATCCGCATGTGTGATCTCACCATAGAAACTGTGTGAATACAGTGCAGTCTAAAAGGTTCAGCCCTTGTATTTAAAGATGCAATTGCGGGCAAAAATACCAGAAAACTGGGAATAAACTAAGCCACTAATGTGCCAAGAGCAAGAACCCTTTATACACACCACCCTGATTTTAAACATGACATGCTGAGTCCCGCTATTGGCTGTCCTAGAATGTGTTTGCAAGTTTTCCCCCCTTAGACCAAATGCGGTATTCTAGATTGCCAAGAGCTGAGCCTTGAAATGAGTCTTACACATTTATTTTTCAATTTGACCCACCTCAACGTCTCCCAAAAGAAACCAGTCCTCCCTGATTTCATGTGGTGCACCTCATCCATGGGCAGCGGGAATAATAGGCCAGGAGAGGCTCTGCCATGGGACCCCAGTTACGGGTTTGACGGGGGGATTTTTGTTTTTTATTATGCTCCATGCATGTGCCAGGGTGGCTCAGGAGGTGGTATGTGCTATTCAGCTTCCTGGGTTCATCAATAACCTCCCTGGACTCCAGGGAGATTACTGATGAACCCGGGATGCTGTCTGAGTAACATATACTGCTTCCTCAGCTGCCCCAGAACCTGCATGGGGCATAGCAAAAGTTCTAGCTCTTCTTCCAGAAGAGAGAAGAAGAGAAGCACTTTTGAATTTTTGCAGGGTGGCTTGGGATCTGAGGAGGGGAGGCCCTGGGGCTTCTCCGAGCAGGTTGTGGGGGGTGGGGCTCAGGGCTCCGGCTGGCCCGGGGCTCCTCTGGACGCGGGTGTGGGGGGGAGGTCTAGGGGCTCCGGCCATGGAGGGGTGAGGGAGTCTCTAGCTGTGAGGGGGGTAAGGGGTCTCAGGGCTCTGGTCGTGGAGGGAGGCTCAGGCCGTGGGGAGGGGACTGGGGATCTTTGGCTCCATCCGTGGGTGGCGGCACAGGTGTCTCAGGGCTCTGGCCACAGGGGATAGGTAGGGGGTCTTGGTCTGTGAGGGGGGCTTGGTCTGAGAGGGGGGCGGGGAGCACTTGGGCCGCAGAGGGGTTGGAAGTCGCGGGTCTTGTGGGCCATAGTGGGGGGGGGAGGGGGCTCGGAGCTCCATCTGTGGAGGGGCGGAAGGGGTGCAACTGGAGTCTCCCCGAGGTGGGGCTCCACCCGCTGCCCATGATCTCATCCCAAGGTACAATAT